GACAATATGTCGTATGAGACGTGAGGGGATGTATGAGCACATTATGTGCGGATAAGAGGTCTAGGGGGTTTGCAGGAACAGTATAAGGTAATTTATTATGCGCGCATGATGCAGGCACAATGAGCATATACATATATATATGTGCATACGTGGACGATAGGCAGGGTACGCAGTGTGCAGCATACATATGTTCACATGTCGTGAACGGGAAATCATATGCCCGATGTGAGGATAGGATCCCAGAACTAGAATGTAATATAGGACAGGGCAAAGTGAGCATCCACCTGTTAACATAGAAAAATGGCATATATGTACATGCCCCCGCATTACTCCCATTGTAGACAAGTTTATGGAAGGATATAGAGGCACAACTGGAGAAGTTTATACAACATTTGGACGACGATATTGTGGAGCACTATGCAGCTAATTGTTTGAACGCGGGTTATAGGAGTCTGAGGCGAAAAGACATACTTGTGGCACAGAAAGTCGCGGATAGACTAATGTGCACACTCATGACAGGCGCATTATTTTTCATGAATGAGAAAAGTTGGCGGCAGTGGCGCGATAATATGGTGGTCAGTAATGATGATGAACTGAAGGAATATGTGCGGTGTGCCATAGTAAATATATTTATGTACATATTGCTGAAATCTCCATGCAGAAGTCAAATGGGTGTATATTATGCATGGGAGACTGTGAGAAAGATGGAGGAGACTATGCCTGCATTACTTACAAAGGGCACGTGCCAGCGGGGAGTGTTTACAGACATAAAAATACAGGTATTCGACATGGGGGAAAGGATTAAGGAATGGTTAGAGAGCAAGAACAGCTTGACTGAGAAAATTGGAGGGCAGGGTATAAAAAGCACATGTAAGAAGAGCCTAAAGGACCTCGTAAGCGGAACAAAGTGTACAAATACAATGGATGACAAAATACAACTGCAGACAACGAAGACGCACGTTATAAAGCACTTAGGGCCAGACATCAAGTTATTGGTTCGGCAGGTGCCGAAGGAGCTCATGGGGACGGCGCCGGAAAATGGAGTATCCACGGACCCGAGCGCACACGACCCCAGTAGAGGTCCTGCGCATGATGACAGTGAGGCCAGAGTACCGACCTCTGTCAAAAGCGATACAACAGAACCATCCGGCAAAGTAGGTGGCAAAGAATCGTCCACACCGGCCACATCAGGACCCGTAGGTAAGACCGATGGGATAAAGCACCAATACGGCACGCTCTCTACGTACCGTACGACTGGGCACGGATGGATGCCACCACAACAACACGCACGCGCGGCGGACCAGCACAGCAAACGACTTCGTTCACGCTGACCGACTGCGATGAGCGGTGTCCACGACGGCATCGGTAGCGGCAGCAGTAGCGACGACGAGTATGTACACGAGGTCTGTGTGTGTGCGCAGGCGGCCCCGACGCGAGAGACGAGCGTACCGTTCGCAGAATGCAGTGTACACGAGTGTGTAGCGTTGATGAGTTTGCAGCGATAGCGGAAGGGGCGCCGAGGCACCGGAGACGGACGGAACGGGTGGGCGGACGAGATGACGGCAACAACAAATAAAAGTTGTACTGCTACCATCTAGCCCAGTCCACCGATGGCACCTCACCGTACGCTTGCTACGGCCTCACCTAGTTCACGGAGTACGGAGTCCACCTCACTGTGCGCTTGCTGCCGCCTGACCCAGGCCACTGAGTCTTACCCCGACCCACTGCATCGAGGCGACCATACCCTACTCACCCAGCACTCCTGTGTTCTGTGTTTTTTCATCCATTCCGCTTTGTTTTAACAAACATCGACCATGTCGCGTCCCCCTGCATAGCTAAACCAAAGAGTCCAGAGAAGGGTCCAAATGGAACAGATGATAACAACAAGGACAAAGCACAACCGGCACCAGTGGACAAACCAGCGTCCAACCCTGGGGAACAAGCACAGGACCCATCATCGTCTTTACCAGATGCAGAACCCAGTCAACCCAGTTAATCTGCGGCCCATGATGATCCTAGCCAAACCATTACAGGGGACCCGGCAGGAAAAGGCGAAAAGCCTGACCCCATGTTAGACTTTACAGGAATAGGTAACCCACCAAAGTGGGTTCAACCATGGGATACAACAGAACATGGGGTAAAACCGAATACAGAAAACTCAGATCCTTCCGGTTTCTCTTCCTACAATCCATATTCATTCGGTTGTAGTGGTGTTGAGGACTCGGAGGGATACTCATCATGTGACCTAAGAATATCACTTAATAAATCACAAAGTGCAGGGGACCCCGGAGGATCCTTTGTACCACCTGACGGACACGATTTCACACTGAATAATGAAAATAAAAACTTAATGAATGACCCACCTCAGCATGGCGGCCCTAGTCCCCCAGACCTAACCGCCGACGTCCTTACCGCCACTACTCCCGTACTCTTCTTCCTGTCCGCCGTCGCCGTCGCCCTCCTTGCTTATGCCCTGTGGAAGGTAAGCATGCACTCACAAGCACCACACGCAACGCGCACAACGCACATACGACACCACACACCGTATATGCGTACAACGCACAAATATAACCCAGTGGAAAATGGACCAACCGTTGCCATTGGCCTTCGACTGTTCCCGTCCCATGCTGCCCAACAAAAGGAGGGGGCATATTGAACACACCAACTTTACACTATGTGGACTACTCGACACAGAAAAGAGAAAAAAACCCACTATAGACGTGCGTCGCGAAATGCTGATACACGGTACCCTGGATGCAACTGACGTGGGGCTTGTGTGACACAATATATTAGATATTTGGGTGTTCATGGGAAAAGGATATGAGTACGATGGTATGCAGTATTGGTATATATATGCTCTTGTAATTATGACGGTTTATTTGTCCGCAAGAAAAAAAAAAAAAAAAAGCCCTAATATCTTAAGCCCCCTACAACTTCTTAACCCGTGAACCGTAAACCTTTATGCTTGAATCCGCAACCCGGAATGCTGAATACGCATTCCTGAACCTTACAATCCTGAAACAGTAAGCCTTAAAGCCCGAATCATAAATCCGTATTCCGCAATCACATAATCCTGAAACCTTAAGCCCTAAGCCAACAATTTCACTGAACATGTACCCGTTATTTATATATGCTCCGTACACTCTTAATTAAATCCATTCACACTTTTTCAAAAACAAAATAGAGATACGGGTATACACGCATAAGAACCTTGTGAACTATATTTCAGCAATTATTATTTATCACTGCGCGTAATAAAACCTGAGAACGATATAAATGACTACCCCCATAAATAATAAACGGCCACGATATACATGTATAATTATTCGAACACGTGACAATAACAACACCCCCCCAAAACACTGACACAAGGCAACTTTGAACCTGCTGCTCTACACCGACAAACTTTTTTCGCCGTTCTTATATGTAAAACGGGCTATAAATGATTCTCTTCTGATTATTTTCTTCACCCTTATACCTAATTTAAAATAGTAAAGTGTTATTCCACATATAGCATTTTTCTCCCGTGAATATACACTTTGCTCCCATTACGCCGTTAAAACGCCGACATCATGGATGAGCCCGTATGAGATTTGTGAAAAATATTTGACCCCTTTAAGTAATGTTGTATCATATAATATGTACCAAAAATGGTTTCTTCACTGTGTTCTTCCGTACTTCCGTCTTCCCTTATATTAGGGTTCACCTGAACTATTTATGCAAATCATATTTATATATTTAGGTAAGAATAGTAAACCTCGTACAAAAATAATTCTATCAATGTTCACCATTGGCCGATGAAAAGAAGTGTTACACGCATAATATATACACCTACATGTGGAAGAAGAGAAAATAGTATTTCTGTAGTTCATACATATAAACAATATATCGTCACTTCTGACATTTTTTGTACTCGAGGGAAAAGGAGAAACAGAATGGTGTTGCTTGTGAAATTTTCTATATTCCTGCTAGTCCTGTGTTTTGGGCAATTTGCTGACTGTGTATGATATCAACAGCTGTATTTTGGGGGACTTATCACATATATTGTGATAAGCTGCTGACTCCTTCAACACAACTATGAACATCCCCTTCTCGTATATACTTCCGTGTTATACATCCTTCTATATACACCATAACAATCCCATGTATTCCCCTTTTTTTTGTGCATTTTAGGCGAGTACACTGGGCACATCTTTGGGTGATGCCACAAGTCAATATGGCACGGTAGATGCCAGTACAGTTGGAACGACTACAGTGTCGTTGAGTGATGCAACGGATGTAGGGAAACGGGGACAACGTAATTTTTACGATGGTCGTGCGAGGGGTAGTCCCGCGAAGAACAAGTTGTTAGATGATATGCGAAGAAATTTTAAATCCAAGGTCAAAGTAAACCAGCCACAGAACAAACAGAAGGAATCACAGGATATAACTGCAGCGAGTAGTTGTAGAAGAGGTTTGAAGAAATGGACGCGTTGTAAAATGGGAAGGAGAGCATGGTCAATACTTATAGTAGTCGCCACAGTCTTGTATCCAGTACTGCATTCCTTTGTAGACGCAAGTACGATGGCGTTGGGGTTAACAGAAATCACCGTTGTAAGTGGCTTCGCCTTAAACTTAGGTTCCATACTGATTGCAGTCATCTATTCCTGCGTGTTAGTATGCTTCTTGCGCTCCAAAACAGCGAAATGTTTATTTGATAAATTTTGGAAGAAGAATGAAGTGACCGCAGAAACGAAAAACAACGAAGGAGAACTAAATAATAAACCGGAGACACCCGGGAAGCAGCACGCACCTAAACAGGCAGGAGAATCTCAGAAACCGCAGGTACCTGAGAAAAAGGAATCATCTGGGAAATCAGATGTACCTAGGAAACAGGAAACACCTAGGAAAACAGAAGTACCTGAGAAGCAGGGAGCATCTGCAAAATTAGATGCACCTAAGAAACAGGAAGCGCCTAAGAAACCGGAATCACCTAAGAAACAGGAAACACCTAAGAAACAGGAAACACCCAAGAAGCAGGAAACACCTAAAACGGACGGAGAATCGGACAAACCGAAAGAACCTAAGAAGCCGGAGATACCCGAGAAGCACGACGCACCTAAGAACGGGGAAACACCTAAGAAACAGGAAGCAGCTGAGAAGCAAAAAGCACCGGGGAAGCTGAAACTACCGTGGTCACTGAAATTACCTAAAAAACCATAAGTATGTGCCGTATTCTATTTCTGGTGGACTATGTCGAGGTTTTGATATGTTATTCATCTATTTATTAGATCCATCATCCCATGGTGTCCTATGTTTTGTATGTGACATGGCTTATTCAGATTTATATTATGTACCTAATTGTGCCGCTTTACAGTGTCATATTTTTGTACTCTGTCCGAATATACACAGTGTGTCGTATATGTATATTGTACAGTTAGTTTATATAATAAGTTGTTGATGAATATTATTAATGGGATACACATTTGAAGAAAAAAAAAGGAAATTCGTTGTACATTACGTATATATAACGTAAGACTACTTTATATCCTACATGTAACAAATACATTACATGATGATTAGTATGGATACAACATGTGGCAAATATGTTCAGGGTTTAGGGTTCAGGGTTTAGGTTTAGGGTTCAGGGTT